TGGTAGCCCAGGCTGGCCTCGAACTCACAGAGATCCGCCTGCCTCTGCCTCCCGAGTGCTGGGATTAAAGGTGTGCGCCACCACCGCCCGGCCAAAAAAGAAATCTTTAAAAGAAAAATCCACAATACTGTTTGGGCATTTTTTTTATTATTTTATTTTACAATACTATTCAGTTCTACATAATAGCTGTTTGGGCATTTTAATGTCTGGGAGCAAAAAGTTTTTTTTTTCTTTTTAATAATAGCACATTTTCCCCCTATAAAAATAGCATTGCTATAAAGATCTCCCTAGAGGCTAGGTGGCAGTGGCCCACGCCTTTAGTCCCAGCACTCGGGAGGCAGAGCCAAGTGAATCCCTGTGAGTTCAAGGCCAGCCTGGTCTACAAAGCAAAATCCAGGACAGGCACCAAAACTACACAGAGAAACCCAGTCTTGAAAAACCATTATATATATATATATATATATATATATATATATATATATATATATATATATCTTTGTTTTGTTTGAAGTAGAGTGAATTCACCCTGGGATTCATTTCTTTCCCTTTATTTCCACTTACGACCACTTTTTCATTAATAGTTTCTCATTTTTTTTATTGTCAAGTGTCAGATGAGAAAAGTTTGAACCGCATTAAAAACGACCATTAGAATAAAGCGTGAACTGTGCCTATTAATCTTTTTTTCTGTTTTCAAAGACACATTGTCAATAAACTTGTTGTACAGCAGTTCTTCATATAAATGCTAACTTTTGTTTTGCTGTGAGACAACGTGAATATTTTCTCCAAAGTTCCAGGCTTGGCCAGTTGACGTGTTGTTTGATGGCGTGGCCATTGGTGCCGAGCAAGGCCTTCAGCAGAGCAATTTGCCTTGCTCTGCGCATGCTCCTCTGAGGCCAAGCCTTCCTGTGTTTCTCTGCTACCCTGCTCCGGTTTATCCAGAAAACTTTGCTTTCTCCAGGATAGTCTCCCTAGTGCTTTTCCTCGTCATCTACTTTCCTCCAGTCCTTCCTTCCCTTGGGTATCTTCCTCTGCCTCCTATATTCAACTTTACCTTGTTCATCCTCAGAAAGTTTGAGAAAGAAAAAAGTGAGAAGAAAATTTAAACAACATGTTCCCATTTTGTTATAAATCTAATGGAGAATCTTTGAGTAATCTTTAGATTTCTGAACTCTCTAGTATAAGTTTAGCTGCTTGTAATATGAAAATGTTTCAAAAACAAACCACACTTAGTGTGTCATGACACTCGTGGAGGTCAGAGGACAACTTGTGGGAATTGGTTCTTTTTTTTCCATTATGTGAGTTCTGGAACAAATTCCAATAATTCGGCTGGGAAACAAGCAACTTTACCTACTCAGCCAATTCACTCAGCATATGTATTTTTAAGTACTATAAATATGCATGTAATTTTGGATGATGAGTATGTTACATAAGTATATTCTATATATATGCTATGTAGAACTATAAATATCAGTTATTCATATGAATATTTTAATTGTTTAACTGTTTTTATTTTAATGACATGCTTAAAATATTTCAAAAGGCTTTCAGTTACACCATTGAGACATAGAAAAGATGCTCAATGATGAGCTTCTGAGAAAACTGTCATGGAATTATTTATTTTCTGCTATATTACCCAGAGTTCCAACTCCTTTGTGCAAGTACATTTGAAATTTGAAACTTGAAGTGGGAGCCTGGTAAAACCCACTGCTTCTAGAAAACTGTTTTTAAAGTAATACCAAGTTACACAACAGAAAATACATGCCATTTGGGGCCATTGGTGCTAAATAACTTGAAAACATTGTCATCCAGATGGGCCAGTATCATAAGGCACTGGATTGTGACACCCCTTTCCTTCTCTCTCTATGCAAGGTGCCCGTGTCAGTGGCCATGATGACGCCCCAGGTGATCACCCCTCAGCAGATGCAGCAGATTCTCCAGCAGCAGGTCCTGTCTCCTCAGCAGCTCCAAGCCCTCCTCCAGCAGCAGCAGGCAGTGATGCTGCAGCAGGTAATGTGTGTTACCTGCTTTGGTGTTCTGGCCCAGCTTGAGGGTCCACACTCTGCGGACAGTGCAGTGGGCTTATTGGAAAGTGTGCTCTCCACTTACAGAAGCAACTTAGCAGCATGTTAGACCAGCAGTGTCACACTGCACTTGCAGAGCTACCTAACAGCATATAAGTTACTCATTCTCTTTGAATGTACTCAAGTCTAGAACCAGAATGGGGAAAGGATGAAGTTGAAAACAGAAGAATTTGATTATTTAGTAACTGATTATCAGTATTTGATTATTTAGGTTCTTAGGTACATTTACTTTTAGATTTGCCAAGGAGTGTTCCAAGACACCACAGAATTGTTGTTTTTTAAATCTTTAACAATTTAGCTCCCCCTTAAGTTCTAATAAATAGGAAAAAAGGTCACTTTGCTGAGAGCACATGTGGAAAGCAGCACCATGAGCTTTCTTTTCCTAGGTATAGTCATCACTTAGGAAAAGAGGTATCTGCTTATTAAAATTAAATTGGACAGGTAAAGAGCAAGCGCATAACATTTTTGTGATAATAAAAACGAGCCCACTGTGCAGCTTATTAAAGGGTTGTGTATCTATAAACTGATTTAGAATTCGATATTTGCTTTCCATGTGAAAATGTGTTTTACCAGAGATCTTAGTTAGTTACTTTGCTGTTGCCTCTGATTGTGCCTATAAGTTACATAGCTTTCTAGCATGACATTGTGTTTAACCTCTGGTAAATAAGCAGTTTTCCTTCCACTTCGGTGGTGTCTATGCTTCTAAGGGTTGGAGCCTGTTCTTAGGTCATCATAGGACTTCAGATGTAGTCATTTAGAATATTCACTTTGGTTCTGGCCTTTAGAATACAGAATTTTTATACCTTTTGTTTAGGATTGTTTGGATTCTGGATTGGAAATTTTCAGAGCTGCCTTGGGAAAAAAAGTATGTAGAGCTGTCTCTTTAAATCCAATGTAATTTTTTGGGGGGAGGGGTGAGGTGAATCTTAATGGCTACTCTACCATGTGTCAGGCTAGAAGAGTTTAGGACATTTATAATACATGAAACTTTTGCCTTTATTTATTAAAGTCAAAATGGTTTATTCAGCAACAACTACAAGAGTTTTACAAGAAACAGCAAGAGCAGTTACATCTTCAGCTTTTGCAGCAGCAGCAACAGCAGCAGCAGCAACAGCAGCAGCAGCAGCAGCAACAGCAACAGCAGCAGCAACAGCAGCAGCAGCAACAGCAGCAGCAGCAGCAACAGCAGCAGCATCCTGGAAAGCAAGCGAAAGAGGTAGGATCTAGTTATCTCATTGATATATAATAGCATGGGGTTGAGAAGGTGCTTTGAGAGGCGAGGATCGTCTCAGATCTTCCTGTAACAAGGCTCTTGCTGTCAAAGATGCAGTGTTCTATATTTTTACTGAGCTTAATAACAGTGACAGTGAGACTCTCGTGCTCTCCTTTTTTGTAGCATGGGACTTGAGAGTCACAATCCATTGCTGGCTGTCGTCTAATGTTCACTAATGAATCACAGTGTACAAAGAGCAAGCTGTGTGGTGGACAGAGTACTGATTATCTTGTATTCACTGAGAATCCAAGTTGGTGAGGGACCCTTATTTTTCTCAGTTGTACAGCTCAGAGAACATGCATGCAAATTTAGCCCATTGTTGGGGGCAGGGAGACTAAGAGAAAAACTGGTTGAGCACAGATTTCAAAGTCACAGGCCCCTGATTAATGAACTGCTAGGGTAGGTTTGGAGTGGCGAGTAGAAAGTTACCATTTGATATGCTCATAAATCAAACTGACAAGCTGGCTTCTCAGGCCTAGCTTGCGCTTGTCAGCAAACTGCATCAAATATAAACACAATACAAACAAAACATGTTGAAGTAGTTAAATTGATCAGCAGGTATCAGGGCTGTTGTCTTCAAGCTGCCCATTATGCAAACGTACAGGAAACAGTTTTGACCTCCTGAGGTTTTGTTTCTGTTTGGATTTGTGAATAGAATTTCAGACAGCCATCAACTACAGAATAGAAATTGCTCCCTTATTTCTCAGAGGCTTTGGGCAATCCACATGACTTGCTCCATTATGCAGTCTGTTTTCCAGTGAGCGCATCAGAAGTTTCTTTTCCCCAAACTGAAAAGCAGAGGTCTTGCACACAGCTTGTCTTCCTCTGAAGTGTGACTGCCATCTCCTACCCTCCCGAGTCCAAAGAACTCTGATTTGTCTGCTAATGCCTCACAAAACTGGAAGTTAGACTTTTCTTTATAATAAGGGCACATTTTTGCCTTGCACATAATTCCACCTTCAATGTATTTTAAAAAAAAAGAAAGAAAGAAACAGAGGAAAAGAGAGAGCTAATATGCCTGTCCTGTAGCTCCATCCAAGTTTACTAATAGATCGCTAGAGACCACATCCCTGGATCTCCACACATCAAACTTACTCAGTTGGAGAAAAGTGAAAGTCTTGTGGAAGTTGATCGGTTCCATAAAGCGTTATTCCTTTTGTCTAAATAAACTTCGAGTCATCTGTGATGTACTGGTTTCTAAATATCTAAACCTTTGTTAGATTCTGTCTCTAAACCTTGCTTGGTCCCATTAGTGCAAGTTCCTTAGTTCCCTGATACTGTTTAACTTCCAAGAAGCAGGTAGCTGAATACCTAGAAGCTGCTCACATTTGGCTTCTGGACTTTTGACCATGGGATGATCAAGAACACATCTGGGCCAAGAAAGCAGCATGCCTTTCTGTGTGTGAGAGTGGTTTGTGTGCACCTTGTTCTCTGCTGTTGACTGGGTTGGGTTTTCTGGCACCCACAGCAGCAACAGCAGCAGCAACAACAACAGCAGCAGCAGCAGTTGGCGGCCCAGCAGCTTGTCTTCCAGCAGCAGCTTCTCCAAATGCAGCAACTGCAGCAGCAGCAGCATCTGCTCAGCCTTCAGCGTCAGGGCCTCATCTCTATCCCACCAGGCCAAGCCGCCCTTCCTGTCCAGTCGCTGCCTCAAGGTATAGAGGATATGCTGCAAATACTTCATTACTGCTCTTGCACTTTCTACCAATTCATGCTGTTGTAGATATACACCTTACGCCTTGAGGTATTTTGGCTTATGTCCTTCAAGTTAATAGCTGAAGCATGACTGCTGTGATGGTCACATGACACACTTGCCATATTCTCAGAAATTCTACTACACACTGCTTTCAAGTATAGAGTAAAACTATCTCAAGTGTTTTGTTAAATATTAAATACAAGTCAGCTAGTTTTATGGGCAAGAGTAATGTATAAGGCAAAACAATTCAAGTACCACTGAATACATAGGGAGCTATGCAGGGAAATGGATGGCTTAGGAAGGGTGGCAGTACTCCATTTACCAGGAGCTGATAATGAGTTTGGTGGACAGCTGATGAAAACACAGGTTCAGTGGCGCTGAAATCACAAGGACTAGACAAGCTGTGTGTTATCTGTAGAGCATTTGCAAGCTCTGTGCTGTAGGAAGCCCAGCATTTGTCATGGGATTGCAATAATAGCATTTCCCCAATTCACTCTACTGACAATGTAAATTATAGTTTTAAATGCTATTGACCATACTCTAATTTGGTTTTCCATATAAGCGACATCTGAGTGTACTCTAATGTAGTTATATATGTGCACTATTCCCAACCTCGAAGAAGGAAGTTTAAGGAAGAAAGATAAACAATGGTTAAAATTCCCAATTCAAGTAAAAGTCAAGTATCATTAATCTTTGTGAATGGATGTTCTAATTTGCATTTGGATTTTGTTGTGACAAAGTTCATTTATACAAGTGAACTTTAGTTCAGGTTCACTATATCTGTCAAAGAGGAGTTTATCTTATACTAGTGTTTGTCACACACATAACTGACTCTGTAGGACACACCCAAAAAAGGCAAGAACAGTTTAATAGGAAGTTAGACAAGCAAAATCCAGTATTTACATTGTACATGACCATTGTTTGATGGCCAATAAAATTAATAATATTATAATGCACATTTTCTTTTATTTATCAAATTACTATTCCTTTTATCTACCTTTCCCCAAATTTCCCTCTTTCATTTAATTTGAGATCCAATTCACTTGTGTAAAGCATTCCTGGGGAACCCAGAAGACAAAGCTTGTTTATTGAAAGAAAGTCTGGGCATAGGCCCAGTTTTCAGACTTATTCTAGAAAGAAGTGGGATAAACTTCAATATCATCATAGAAAAATAAACATTCCATTCATTAATTATGGTTCTTTAGAAAAATAATATTATCAGAGGACAAATGAAAAAATAAGAATCACAGAGGATATTTATAAATTAATTCAGTACAATCATGGATTTTCTTGATAACAATTATTTGTTGATAAAAACTATACCCAAATAGAAGCAATTAGTTTATCTCCTTGTTTTTTTAAATTTAATAAAAGTTTAAAAAAGTCTCCATTTAGAATCTCCTCAAAACTAAATCATGATTTATCATGATTTTACTTTAGTATTGTCTTTGAAATTCTTTAAGAAAGTTTATTATTTAAAGTAATTTTTAGCTTTTTTCCAACTCCAGCCAAATTCTCATCAAGCAAGGCAATTTATTATTTTATAATCATCCCAGTCATTTTCAAATGAAAATTTTTCTTATTTCTGAGCTGGTTTGGTATAGAATTATTTTTCACATTTTTTTATACTTTTATTTTTCAAAGGACTTAGGAAAACTAAAATGTACACAATTAAGGAATTCAGGAAAAGAAGGATTCTAAGAGCAAAGCTTAGTTTGGGCAGAAAATTTCCTTATTTATTTACTTTGTCTTTGTTGAGACAGGGTCTTACTCTGTAGTCCATAGTGGCTTAAATTTCACTCTGTAGCACAGTCTACCCTTGAATTTAGGAGCAATCCTTCTGCCTTAGCCTTGCAAATGCTGGTGTTACAAGCACAAGCAACAACATCTACTTAGAAAATTTATAGTTAAGAAAAAAGCATGAAGCCACAAAAAAATATCCCTCTGATGAAAGAGACGTAATGAAATTGAACAATTGTGGGCCTCAACCTCAGTGGTTGCTGTGACCACTGCTGTTGATGAGACCACATCAGGAGCAGAAACTGCAGTCCTCTTCACATTGTCACTAATTATTGAATGTGAAAACTATCATTTTTAAGACCCATCATTCAAACACAGGCTGAATTTGTTTAATACCAACCAGCCATAGGAAAGGAATGGTCCACTTTTCTAAACTGTGGGTATTAAGACCCAGGATTCTATAGCCATGGAGTCAACCAACTATAATAAAATACATTGGGATAAAACTCATTTGTGCTGAGCATGTACAGATTTATTTCTCAGCATTTGCCACTAAAATATAGTCTAATAACTATTTGTGTAATATTAGCATGGCATTAAGTGTTACTTTCAAGGATGTGTTCAGAATATATATAAATCTATCTATCAATCTATCTATTTATCTATCTATCTATCATCTATCTATCTATCTATCTATCTATCTATCTATTTATCTATCATCTTTCTTTCTTTTTCTTTCTATATATCTATCTATGCATCTATCTATCTCCAGTATAGCAGACTTTGATGTCTACTGGGCATACATTCTGAGGGACAACTATGATATCATAGTACTAATATGGTAGAAATCTAAAATCAGAGTAAGAAAAAAGTAAAGAAGCAATTGTTGGTTAGTATAAGGCCCAAGTCATCTGTCTTAGCTACTCTTTATTTCAGGTAAAATAATTTTAATACTTTCATTATCAGTTTTCAGTTCACCTTGCACTGAACTTTTGGTTTGTTGATTGATTGGCCATGAATAGTAATCACATGAGAACCAAATGGAATTACTGTACAGTGATGGATGATGTTCTCATTATGTCTTCAAAAATATGGCATAATTTATTTATTTCCATGATTTAACACAACTTCATCTGGCTAATTTAAATTATAACTTCTGAAACTATATAAAATGTATATAAATATCAGAAATAGCACTTTGTAATTTTAATAGAAGAGATTTGTAGAACTTTTTCTGTAAAGTTATATATCTCATCATTTTAACATGAACTCTTTTAAATTTTAAGCATTTAAGTCATAAATAGTATTATAATACTGGATTTTAATATAAAATAGGTACTAAATTAACATCTCCAAATATGTACATAGGTTGTATGTAGAGTGAGTGACAGCAGGTAACTTAAACCAAATACAAATAGTGAACGTGTAAATCAATCTCAACTATACTGATTTATAAAGCTATTTAACATATGAACAATATGCATCTAAATGAATAATTTTATTTATCAGTGTTGTATAATGAACTGATGCCATGGCCTACTCATTAGCAAGAAGAAATTGTGCAGGTATTTCCATCTTGATAGGTTTTTAACATAAGATAAAATTTACCTTTGGAATACAATATATTCACAGGTTGACTTTGACTTTATTCAAAATTTTATTTTTCTTACTTTTAGTAACTTGAAGTTAACTGTATTCCAAAAAAAATATTAAATAGAAAACTCCAGAAAGAATTAATAATTTTAAATTGTTCAGCATCTGGAGTGACATGATGAAATTTCACAGCATCCTATTTCACCCTACCACTGTCGACCATACCTTTGTCAAGCATATCTATGTAGTGTCCACATCCACACTACCCATCCTTTGTTCACTCATCCCTCCTCAGTATCAGATTTGTTGTTGTGAGTTCCTAGTACTTGTGTTTTCTACACCCTTATTTTAATTATTAATGACCCTAACACACAAAACAAGTGATGCTGGTGATTCAAAAATGCTGAAGGGGAGGAGAGAGTTGTTTCCTCTAAGTGAAAAAAAAAAAAAAAGCTGAAACTTGTCCTAATAAGTCGTAAAAGTCGTATTGTAATGTTGTTAAGATTTACTATGAAAATTAATGTTCTATCTATGAAACTCTGATAGGTAATTTTCCTAACACAGCTCACGCAGCAAAACTTACAGCAATAATGAGTGATAACTGCTTAGTTGAGGTGGGAAAGGCATCAAATTATAGGTTTTGGTGCTATCCACAGTTTCAAGAATGCACTGGGAGTCTTGAAATCTGTTAGTACTGTATATGGATAGAAAGGTATGGTGAAAGTTTTATATCACTCCACTTATTTTATAAATGTATAAGTTATTTAAGATATAAGATTTCAATTAACAATGTGCATAAACAAACATAACATACTGCTTTTCACATCAAAATCCAAGGTTTAAATATAACAGCAATAGAAAAAAATATAAGCAATAACCACCAAGCAGAATTATTATTCAAATACCAAAATAGTTTTTATTTAGAGATTAATATTACAAAATTCTTTCAGTTACTTAAATTAAAATATTATTATATTTGTTCCAGAATCAACTCTGCCATGATAGCTCACACCTTTAATCCAAGCACTCATGAAGCAGAAGCAGAGGCAGGTGATGTCTGTGAGTTCAAAGTCAGCCTAGTACATAGTGAATTCTGGACTAGCACTACATAGAGTCTGTCTTAAGAAAAGAAAAAAAGGTTGCTTCTAATTATTTTATTCATAGAAAATATCTTGCAAATAATTAAATGCATAGAGGATTACTGGGTATAATTAATTTAGAAAGTATAAATAAGAAAGATTGATATTATATAGTATTTTGAGTTATTGCAGAATTGGTTAAGGAACTAGCATGTGTTATATTAAAAGAGATTTATTTGTTTAGTTAGTAGATTTTGATGTTGAGATTGAACACCATACATGATAAACAAGATCAAGGGAGAACCCAGCCTAAAGTGCATGTAATTCCATTTAATTCATAAGTCTTAAGAATATTCTACTTGACAAGTTTTGAGTCTTTGCCTGGAAAACTAAAAAACAATTTCAGACTTCAAAAATATACAGTCTAGATAAATGAGTAGGAAAATTATAAATTATAACTCTTTCTCACTCTGTTATCAGAGAGAGAGACAGAGACAGAGACAGAGAGAATGCCTGTATCCATTAGTAGATATATTTGTCTTGGGTC